GACGTCATACCCCTCGACGTCATCCCCTCCCCTTCCGTGACGTCATACCCCTTTCACTCTGTGACGTCATCCCCTGGCATCACCACAGAGTTCCTAAACGTATTATAATTTATACCCCTCGCGTTCTTAAACACATTATAATTTATGTTGGTAAACCTGGTTCATAAATCAAGTGCTTACGGAAAAAAGAACAATCTTGGCCTAGAACCCTCCCATCTATACTACTTATATGTCTTCATATTCTTATTAAAAGTTCTTCCTATTTCAATCCAAATGGTTTAAATCTTCTTTACAAAAATTAATATTGAAAGATCTTCCTATTCCAACCCAAGTAGATTAATCCTTCTTTAAAAATATTATATCAAAATTAATTCAAACACATTTATTTCTCCAATAATAAATTACCATGAAAAGTAACTGATATATTATTAAAGGTGCCAGTTCAAAGTGAACATATAAAAAGTGTATATTATCCAAATTTAATAATCAAAATAAACATACATACATATGTATATATAATAAGTAAAGCATTACAATTTGCAGATTACAATTTTCTAGAAAATAACTGCGATATGTTATGCTTAGTGCACAAAATATAAAAGTCGTTATACTAGCCCGTACAATAAAAAATAATTGCTTGTAATTCCAGAGTACCAATCTGTTAATGACTCCGAAAAAGAACATGGCGGCCTGCTCTCAAAAGAATTTTGATGGGTAGAATAAATGATTGAAATGAAAGTTGTGAAAATGGTTCGGATTAAAAGCCTTTAATCTTTCTTTTATTTCAACATATTTTTTCAGACATTTCAACATATTTTGTGTATTCATATTCGTTATCGTTATGGAGCTCTTGAAAATATGGTGGATCCTTATTTTATATTATAATCTAATCTTATATTATTTGAATGTAATACTTTTCGTACTTCAAGTGTCGAAATTCGTATTAATAATTATTAATAACTACTCTGTACAAGCTTCGATATTATTTCTAAGTGAACCGCGAGAAACTCATCAGATTTTTGATAATAAATCTCATTAAACGACTTTTATATTTTGTGCACTAAGCATAACATATCGCAGTTATTTTCTAGAAAATTGTAATCTGCAAATTGTAATGCTTTACTTATTATATATATGTATGTATGTTCATTTTGATTATTAAATTTGGATAATATACACTCTTTTTATATGTTCACTTTGAACTGGCACCTTTAATAATATATCAGTTACTTTTCATGGTAATTTATTATTGGAGAAATAAATGTGTTTGAATTAATTTTGATATAATATTTTTAAAGAAGAATTAATCTACTTGGGTTGGAATAGGAAGATCTTTCAATATTAATTTTTGTAAAGAAGATTTAAACCATTTGGATTGAAATAGGAAGAACTTTCAATAAGAATATGAAAACATATATGGTGCTTAGATTTCATTGTATATGAAGATAAAGATAAAATACTACATGGGTTTTACTATTTAATTAATTAGAATTTAATTAGAATAGTACCACATGGGTTTTTAAAAATATTAT